TTTTCACTATTCTTAGTGTCACCCTGTCTGGTACACAGTAATAAAAAAAAAAAAATCATGTACAACAAATAATACTCTGATGTTAATTACTTTATCATATAGTGAATATGAAATGTATGTCATAAAAAAAAAATATATATATATATATATATATATATATCATAATAATAATTATTTGATTATTAATTAAATAAAAATAAAACAATTAAATGCTTATTTAAATATAATTAAAATAAGAAATATAAAACATATTTTATTTAATTGACAATAAAATAATAATATACATACAGTAAATGATTAAATACAAGTAGTATTTAATTATTGTATTAATTATATATTTAATTTACATATTTTGCTTTTATTTATAATTTATTTTTATTTATTTATTTGCAATGTTAATGGGGAGGAGAGATCTTAGTTTTTTTTTTTTTTTTTGGTGCCAGTAGTATTACAATGGCTGTATTTAGAATGGAAGATTTTATTTATTTATTAATAGTATGCATGATGTAATTACAAACATTTAAATTGTTACTATGCTTCGTAGTGATATAACCTCATCATGGGAATAAAAAACAATTTCTTGTGAATTTTTTACTATTATTTTCTGCAAAAATGTTTTCGTATTCCTGACTTAAGTTCATAGAGAGCCTTGTTGCATTTCAGAATCTGAAAGTTGAATAGGTTTTCAGTTTTACAATAAATGCTCTGATGTCACCCATGTAAATTTGTTAGGTGAAGTAATGTGATATTTAAATGCCTTTTAACCATACCGTACCGTGTTCTTCTGTTCACATGCAGCTAAATCAAAGAATCACGGTAACAGCAATGCAAGACCTCAACGAATCAACTCCGGGCTCCACAGGAACAAAAAGCAGGTGTGATTCATTTGTATAAATAATTATTTTTAGTTTCTTTTGTTAATACCTAGAGTAACTGAAAACACTACTGCCATACAATACTGTTCATTATATAATGTCTCTATTTGCATCCACAGCAAATCTGTAACCAGACAACAAAAAAAAACTAACCTGAAACATGAGTATGAAGTATGAAAATAAACAAACAGGTCTAAATCAGAAGAAAATGTTTCTTTGCTTCCTTCAAAGAAAAGTGATAATTTAACCAGGAAGCTTTGAACTGGAAAGCTCCAAATAAAAAGCATCACTCGTGTTGAACACTAGGGGGCGTCAGAGACCTTTTATTTGAATCTCTTACTTATTGGGGTCTTATTTCCATTCTTCCATAATTTGACCTCAGTGTTTAAATAAGCAGCACACACTGATTGTTAAAACGGTGGTTAACCCATAAAGTTCATTCACTCACATCTGCTCTTATCAGAACTCAGCACTGGACTGCAAAAGCGCACCTGGGTCGATACTGGACAAAGGACCTGAGAAGAGCCCCACCAAGATTAGACAGCCACGGAAGGTGGACCTCCGAGCACGATATTGGGCCTTCCTGTTTGATAATCTTCGGAGAGCAGTGGATGAGATCTACGTCACCTGTGAATCCGACCAGAGCGTGGTGGAGTGCAGGGTATGATTATATATGACACACATACCATCAACAACATTTATTAGCTTTTGCCATTTGAAACGGAATATTTTATATATCTCTAATGCTGTAATTTTTATTTAAATGAAAATATTATACAGTTATATATTTTTTGTATTTATTCTATTTTTATTTATTACATTTTTTCATTTAATTTAATTTCCTTTTTTTTTTTTTTGAGACATTTCATATTGAAGTTGTTGCTTTTGCACTCTATGACCACTAGAGGGAGAGAAGCATTGGGATGAAGCTCCTCCTCCTCCTCCTCGCATTCCTTTTGTTTTCTGGTTTGTGTCAGAGAGGGGTTTGGTGAGAGAATTATCACTGCACCTCTCCAGGGCCTTTCTGGAGGGAGTGGAGATGGATGACATGTGTAAACAAAGGGCCCCCCACCCCACTCCTTCTGTGTGTGTATGTGCGGGCGATGGGGGGGGGGGCTCAGGGCACGAGGTCTAGGTGACGTCCCAAAACACTTTTTCCACCCCAGGCTCTTTGTTTAGTTTTAGTAAAAGCAAAAAGCTGATTGCAAAACATGTACTACAATCAGCCACTATGACCAATAACCTCTCAGCACGCAATGATCGCAATAACGATTTGTCACTTCAAGTTGATCAACAGTGTTTTTGTGTCCGGTTCGGTCTTGGGACCTGTGTCGGCAAACATTCGTTTGAACTCTGTTAGCTTTGGTTGGCAGAGCCCATGTCGGGGCACTCACTATGTTTACCCTGGCAGGTATGGCGCCGGGCTGTATTTGGGCCCATCGTCCGTGCTCTAAACTGCTGGCTCTGATTTATCGATTGGCGTGTAATCTAGAATTATGCTGAGCAGGGTTCGGCCAACCACTCGAAGTTAACCGGCCCCCTTTGTGGTTACCTTGTTGACAGCTGGCCTGTGTGAATGTGCGTATACTATCTTGCCGCTGTGTTTTCATGTCCGGTGGGTCTGTTCGCACTTCCTGGACCTTTGGTCTGAGTTGGTGTATGTGACCATGCTCTGCTACAAATCTTGAGTTCACTGCCATGTGACCGTAGAGGATTGTTTAATGAGAGACAGTTGGTCTACAGTAGGAAAATGTCCCTTGGAGCCATTGAAATCCAGGACTTTTTACACACAAATGCTCCTTTTATAAAGATATAAATCTATGATTCAGCACTTGTTTTTCTTTGTTGTGTACATTTACCGGCAAATTTTTTTGCTACATAATTGCATAAAAGTATAATTTTTTTGGTCATCAACAGAATTTGGTATAAAATGCAAAACATTTTATAAAGTGTATAAATTGTGATGGAAAAACTGTAAAAATAAACAACTTGCTTCAGGGGCGAGTAACCTAATAATGTAGTCTATTAACTATGCATAAAAACCTGTCTGTTTACTTAAAGGGTTAGTTCATCCAAAAATTAAAATTCTGTCATTAATTACTCGCCCTTATGTCGTTTCAAACCCGTAAGACCTTCGTTCATCTTCAGAACATAAATTAAGATATTTTTGATGGAATCTTGAGAGCTGTCTGACCCTGCATAGACAGCAATGCAACTGAAATGTTCCCAAGTCCAGAAACGTAGCAAGGAGATCTGTAAAATAATCCATGTGACATCAGGGGTTCATCCGCAATTATACGAAGCTACGAGAATACTTTTTGTGTGCAAAAGAGAAAAAAAAGACTTTATACAACAATTCGTCTCCTTCGCGTCACCCTCGCTGGACGTAAACCGCGTATGCTGTTCTGTGTCAGCTGCGTCACGCCCATAGACTGTATAAAAACATGGACGTAGTGTCCGTGACGTCACCCGTAAGGGTTCCAAAGCCCATGGACAAGACAATTATCCTTCTGCATGTGTGAATGGGTCTATGAAAATGAGAGATGTAATATATCAGAATTGTTTTTGTGGGGTTGAAGGGTCATTTAATTTTTCATTTGACCGAATGACCCAGTAAGTTAAAATGTTAACATATTAAGTATTTTCCCGTCAAGTGTGTTATATAAGTCTTTTGAAATGAACTGAATTGTATTCTAAATGTGTAAGTATTTTTTTTAAGGGCACTCCTGTTTACTTTCCACTTGTTTTCCCTTAGCTGTTGCATTATGGGCCAGTTTCATCCTCCACCATGCCCTGGTCTTGTTAACTAGCCCCAATCAACAGGCCTGCTACTGGACACATCTTTCACTGGGTCTGACTCCCCTATTAACTAAAAGCAGTGTGGACCTCTCCTCACGATTGCCACTCCCCCGTTACTGCCCATCAATCACACACACACACACACACACACACACACGCCTGTTTCACAGCATCGCCTGCTGTCCCCCAGATCATCAGTCACACCACAGACTGAATGCATTTGAACTGTGTGTCAACGAACAGAAAGTCTTAAGTATTTCTGATTACCTCACAATATGATACACATTGTGATACAGGTGTCAACACATTGGGTCTCATTCATGAAACCTGTGTTAATATATAAGTAAATTCTGAGTAATGCCCGTAAAACAGACCTTCCCGAAAACTCTTCTCTAGATTCCCAAATGCATTGTAATCATCCGATTTGATAGTTAAGTGTGTGTATTTTAATGAATTCCAATCATTTGTGAAAAGGCCCTGCGTGCACAATCATTCCTTACCATAATCCCCGCTGATGAATTACAACTACGTAAATTACATGTCCAGGAACGCTGTGGAATTTTCTGAACAGCCTTCTCAGGTTTGGCTCCAGTACATTGCATAAATGCAAAAAAGACTAATAGACCACATGGCTAACCATAAATATTCAATTAACGTGTGTCCACCAATGCGTTTTTAGCCAGCTGAGAAAATGCCAGGCGCTCTTCTGAAAGTGGCCAACTGGTGGTGCTTGAGAAGGCTTTGGTGGCACAGCGTTTTTCCAGCTGAGATGCTTTGGTTGCTATGATTTGGAATATCCGAGGCAGTAACGTATTACTAGTATCTCATTTTTAATATTATTGAATATAGATATGCAGTAACTAGGGGTGTGAACCTATACTGGTCTCACAGTTTGGTTCGATTACAATTATCATGTCATCGATTCGGTTCAATTCGGCATCACAATGCATCGACGATGCACTGCATCCTTAATTTTCAATTTTACTTCACATGTATACTGCATATATAGTCAGATATATGAACTGTACCTGACGTTAGTGGTTAAACGGATCGTAGTTTATCCGTGATCCGTACGGACCAAGCCCCACGGTTCGACACGCATGTGATCCTCGGATTAATTGCAAAATTTAACCATAATAGAGTATAAGCTTATCATTTGTTCGTATTTACACAAGCAAGCGAATTTTAAACCATTCCAGAGAGAAAAGGCGAAAGGGAACTCAATTCGTTATGCACCCGTGTTTCAGACGGCGTGAGAACACCAAACTGAATCCTCTTCTGAATCCTCTGAACAAACACGTATACATAAAATTATGACAAAATACCCAATCTCGACAATCATTTGCAGTCAGTTATGTCTCAAGTGAATGAAAACAGCTGAGAAAGAAATCGGATGTGATCAGTGTTGCCAACTCCTTTTCAGGGGAAGTTGCTAAAAGAAGGTTGATTTGTTGCTAAATGACCTTGTGATGTCATTGCACGAGGACATCATCACGTAATCACAATGCAAAAAGTATATTTGATATGTTAATTTAGATTTGTTTGTAAAATAATATACAGTAAATGTATAATGCGATATTAAAATATAAACAACTAATTTTAAACACAACATTGAATTATTTAACACTTACACTTTTTTTAATTAGCTAGTAAACTAGTAAAACTGCACATTCTAAACAATTGTAGTTTTAAGTAGTGCAGCCTAAGTTACACTCTAGTAAAAGTAGAGCACAGTTTACTGTTAATATGATGGAATTTTCTGTAATTATTTTTCACAGGTTTTTTTTTAACCTGCATTTTAAATTACACATTGTATTTTGTGTTTTGGGGTACAGGGTTACAACGGATAATGGGAAATGGATAACAGATAATGTCTTGGACAATTAAAATCTGCGTTGCAATGATTTGTATTGTGAAAAGTGCTATACAAATAAACTTGAATTGAATTACTAGAACCTCTTCTATTTCTCTAGATATTTTTCTTACAGTGTACTAACTGATCAACAATTGCAGGTACAAGCTACTCACAAGGTGTTTCATAAATTAACAATTATTCAGTTATTAAATTATTATTATTATTATTATTAATTGAACAATTGCGAATAACAGCTAGCTTAATTCACGTGATTTACAGTGTACTAACTGATCAACAATTGCAGGTACAAGCTACTCACAAGGTGTTTCATAAATGAACAATTATTCAGTTATTAAATTATTATTATTAATTGAACAATTGCGAATAACAGCTAGCTTAATTCACGTGATTGGTTTACTGCTAGGCATCTTTGGTTTCCTCTTGTGTCATTTGGATGGAAAATGTGTGCCTTTTATCGTATTGGTCACTTATCAAATGTTGCCAAATACATTTTAAAAATAGCTAAATTTGTTGCTAGGTGCTTTTGGAAGAAAAAGTAGCCAGGGTAGACTGAGAAGTTGCTAAATTTGGCAAAAACTGCTAAGTTGTCAACACTGGATGTGATATGTATCATTATATCGGATCCGTGCATCAAGTCTTAAAGGGACAGTGGCCTATAAATACTGCTGCTGTCATTAATGATCATCATACAACAAAACGGCTGTGATTTAAATCTTTGTTTTATTTATACAGTGAACACTATGCAGTGTTATTTTCCCTAGTTATTACATTTCTGTATTTGAATACTACCAACCTCATTTTATTTGTAACATATTCTGTTGTATTTATCTATGCTTGTAATTTGTGTATTTGTTCTTAATTTTACTGGCTGTTCTCTTGTCTCTTTAATCATGTTTAAACGTTCTTAGTTAATTTAGTAGTATTTGCTGTGGTATCAAAGAAGTACTTTGCTTTAAGTAATAAATGGAAAGCAAGTTAAATTTAAATAAGTTTCTTTTCTTGCTGATCCGAAAAATTATCCAATCCATAGGTCAAAAACCGTAATGTGGTCCGAACCATGAGATTTGTTATCCGTTGAACCACTACCTGACGTGGTTTCTCAAGTTAGTGGTAGGCTATTACCCCCTGCATATTTTATTGTGCGTGACATGATGGACACACAGCATGTGTCTTCTCCAGGTCGTGCTTACCAGGTTGTTCATAAAAGCCAAAATGTGCCCAGATGTAGACTTTTAAAGTAGTTGGAGCAATCGCACTTGTGTCTCGCCTCCCTCCGCCATTAGACGCGTTCAACTTGAAGCAGCGCTGCACAGAATGATCAGTGTATGACATCAACTCCGAGAGCGATTCGAAAGCATAAGGATCTGTCTGCTCTTTTATCACTCTCGCGGTACTTGATGTCATACACTGATCATTCTATGTAGCGGCGCTTCAAGCCGAACGCGCCTAATGTATGCTTCCGCAACAAATTACGTCAGAAAAGCACCAGTACGTTATAATCGGTTATGGTCTATAACTGAACCGGTGCCGAATAGCCCTCGTCTGGATCGCTGTGCATCGTAGAAGCGATTAATTTCGACACCCCTAGCAGTAACCAGCAATATTAACTTCTCCATTATTCAGTCGTTGGACAAATAGAATGGCTGGTCGTTGTAGTATTTGTCCTGCCTCTTCTCCAATGATTGGACGGCTGGGTAAAAAGTGACCGTGACAAGTGTTGTGTTTTACCCAAAGTTTAACAATTTTCAACTCTCAGCTACAAAAAAAAAGAAAAAGATACAAACATTTTCATGAATTCGAAAGTTTACATCAGAATGGCTTTGCACAAAAATTTGTTCTGCTCGTGTTTCATGAATGAAGCCGTTGCATGCAGCTGAAACTGCAAATGAGGAAGACGCCGCATACCCGCAAGGGAGTGAACCTGCAGGATCATTTTCAAATGCACTCCACTTTTATCATGCATAGTGGCTCTGAACACTACGAAATGCAACTTTGACAGTTCTAGATGACCTACTGCTTCATTAATAGATTCGTAGGAAACTATTCAAGCACATAAATTAAGATTGATTATAGTGGTTCAACAGATCACAAATCTCACGGTTCGGATCACATTGTGGTTTTTGACCCACGGATCAGATCGTTTTTCAGATCAGCAAGAAAAGAAACATTTCAATTGAACTTGCTTTCCATTTATTACTTAAAGCGAAGTACTTTGATACTACAGCAAATACTACTAGATTAACTAAGAAAGTTTAAACATGATTAAAGAGACAAGAGAACAGCCAATAAAAATAAGAACAAATACACAAATTACAAGCATAGATAAATGCAACAGAATATTTTACAAGTAAAAGGAGGTTGGTAGTATTCAAATACAGAAATGTAATAATTAGGGAAAATAACACCACATAGTGTTCACTGTATACATTAAATATAGATTATTATCACAGCTGTTTTGTTGTTTGACTGTTTTACTGGCCACTGTACCTTTAAGACTTGATGCACGGATCCGATATAATGATACATATCACATCCGATTTCTTTCCTGTTTTCATTCACTTGAGACATAACTGACTGCGTTTACCTGAATGATTGTCGAGATTGGGTATTTTGTCATAATTTTATGTATGTGTTTGTTCAGAGGATTCAGTTTGGTGTTCTCACGCCATCTGAAACGCGTGTGCGTAACGAATCGAGTTCCCTTTCGCCTTTTCTCTCTGGAATTGTTTAAAATTCGCTTGCTTGTGTAAATATGAACAAATTATAAACTTTTATACTCTATTATGATTAAATTTTGCAATAAATCCGCGGATCACATGCGTGCCGAACTGTGGGGCTTGGTCCGTACGGATCACGGATCAACTACGATCCGTTTAACCACTAATTGATTATGACTGGCATGGAGGCAGTTTCTGGCAGATTTAATAATTGCAAGCAGTTTTTTGTAATCTTGAGAGCCTGTGGTAGGTCTAAGGTTGTAGACCTGTTCTAATCTGTGTTGTGCAAGGCTTTGCGACACTCTCTAGCATCTTTGTTGAACCAAGGGATTCCCCAGAGTCCCTACGGCACTCCCAGATCGAATATCGGATAGACAATGAACATTTCTTCATTTGCTGCACACTCTTGGCCAGTAACTAGAAATGATTACAGCCCCAATCAGATTTGCCAGCCCCCTTTTGCAAAGCTAATTGGTAATTTCAGCCGCACCTCTTGTGGAAGACCACTGAGGCAAGAAAGAGCAGCAGCACTCTTTTTCCCTTTTCTTTAGTCCTCATCCTTTTCTTTTTGTCCCCATCTGGTATTTGTGAATGGAGTGCTTCTGGTGGGTGGGGTGTGTGTGAGATGTGCTCCAGTAGCTATAGATGCCCACTTTTTAGTAGAGACAACAGGGTGTTGGTTTACACCAGCTCCTCAGTGTGAACAAGAATCGGGGGCTCGTACGGGATGCTACTTGGCAGAGAATTCACTAGATTCTGCCGGGGGTCTTGGCTGGGGCCCTGCTCATTGTTCTTCCAAAAATTCCACAAAAGAGACGTCGGGGTGGGGGGCCGATCTGGCCCTCTTGCATGGTCAGATCAGGTCTCTGGGGTCACAGCTTTATCAGTGAGAACGTTAACAGGACTGAACTCTGATGACAGGAAGTAGGAGAGGTCGATTTGGATGTTCTGTATTAAATTTTATGTTTGGGAGGTTGTTCTACTGAAATAACTTTGCCTTGACATTGGCAATTTCAGACATTTGTTGCTACTTTTAACATTTTGATAGCTCATAGATCAGGGTTGTCCAGTCCTGCTCCTGGAGGGCCAATGTCCTGCAGAGATTAGTTCCAACTTGCCCCAACACACCTGCCTGGAAGTTTGTGGTGATCTTCAAGACTTTGATTAGCTGGTTCAGGTGTGTTTAATGAAGGTTGAAGCTAAATTCTGCAGGACAGTGACCCTTCAGGATCAAGATTGGACACCCCTGTCATAGAACAACTCTTGCAACTTTTGGCAGGTTTTTGCAAGCACATCCTTTTCAGTCAAGAAGGCTTTGCCTTTTAATGGTTGGACCGTACTTAAGCAAATATCAGAGTTGCATGTAATTCTCCCTTATCTCATTGAGGCTTTCACAACTGACAGCACACATTCTTCCCCCCCCAGGAGGTTCTGATGATGTTGGATAACTACGTCCGAGACTTCAAAGCTCTAATCGACTGGATCCAACTACAGGAGAAGCTGGAAAAAACAGACGTTCAGAACAGGTGATAATGTGCTTGCTATCTAAATGGGGACATGCCATTTGTCTTCTGTTGTTTTTCTATACAGTTAGTTAAGTTATATAATATGTGTGATTTTATATATATATATATATATATATATATACACTGTATATATCACACACAAACACCTGTGCCTGTCAGGATTGACAAAAAAAAAAAGTATATATATACTCTTACCATATACACAAACCCTCCTTTCAGCCTGATCAATGAGTAATTTGTGTTGATTCACTATTTCACTGCCCCTTTACGTAATGAGTAAGTGACCATTACATTAGTACATTGATTATGGTATAAAAGCATGAGCTTTTAAGTTGAATGTCAAACTGTAAAGTACTTACACCTTAGAAAGCTCTGTACATTTCTACAGCATTTAAATGCTTGTCCTTTAGAAGCATTTAAGCATGCCCTGGACCTTGAATGTCTGTTTATTAAATATTTTGTGGAATTTTATATGGTTTTTATATGTTTGGGATCTGTTCTGAATCAGTACCTTTCTTTGAATGTTTTATCCTGTTCTCGCAGGCCCACATCTTTGGCTTGGGAAGTTCGAAAGATGTCACCAGGGCGACATGTAATGTCCAGCCCCTCGTCAGACCGTATTGTTCCATCACCTGGCGTTCGCCGTGCCCTCAATTTTGGGTAGGCCAATCCAGTTACATCCATCACACCCAGGATCACTCAAAAACATTTCCCTCAAGTACTCACAAGTACTTTTTTCTCCAATACTAGCTCTTATATATTCTTGTGTTATTAGTCACTCTGACCGCTTGATACCATATGCCATGGTAACTAATCACAATTTTATATATATATATTTATTTATAAATGTGTGTGAAGTCAAATGTTTTTATGATTGATCATTGCTTTTTAATTACTCAGTACTTTTGTATAAGGATTGTTGTGAATTATGTCAGACTGTTTCAGGATTTTGTTTTATAATTGTTTTCAGTCTTTGGGGATGGAAAAATCTAATTTTTTCGCATGGATATTTCATAAAGATATGTGTCCACTATTGGGGACATCATGCATTTTAGTATATACCATATATTATAAGTAATGATCACTGTGTGAAAATTATGAACTCCTTATTTGATTTGTAATGTTGTACAGGAAAGGTTTTATAAGTGTTTCACCTATAAAGTATTCTGGGCAAAAAAGCTATTAACCCTTTAACTGTCACTCACATTTTTAAACATAGATGTGAAAGTGCACGATCCAAACTTACATTTTTATAATTCATGAACGAAAACATTTTGTAACATGATATTGATGTACCATTTTCATGGTAATGCAATGTTTGATTTTAAAATGGGTTTCAAAGGATGAATTTTGAGATTTAAAGTTTTCAATTGATATATCATTTCTAATGATTTCTAAAGTGTGATAGAGAAAAAAGCAACGAAGAAAGTCAGAACTCCTGTTATGATGTAGATTTTTGAGGTGCACTCTTGTCATAAATTAATCTATTACTTTTCCTACATAATATTTTACAAAAACATTGGTAAAGTATCTATTTAGGAGTCTTAGACCTTTCCAGCGATATATAGTTTGTCATGATTAGATTAGAATTGAATTGTAATATAGTGAAGTAAACTTAGGCGTCCCACAGAGGGGATGGGTGACAGTTAAAGGGTTAATTGAAAATGTTTATTCCATCCATATTCTCTGCTGTCTTAAAATATATTAAGTGTCTAAACTTGAATAGACCTAAAACAATAGATCTGATCTGGACCAGTAGCTTGTGAAAAAATACAGCTAATAATGTGGTATATTGGAAAATATTACTGTATAGGAACTATATTCGTTATACTATATAATTTGCTATTGCAAAGTAAAAACTGATAATATAATTATATTAAACTTGCATAGGGATGCACGATATATCGGCCACCATATCGGTATCGGCCCATATCGGCTCATTTTTTCTGTTATCGGTATCGGCCTGATAAGAAAATTTGGCCGATATCTTAAAGCCGATAAATAATGCATTATTTCCTTCAGAGACACTTCAGATGCGCGCTGTTCGTTTGCAGCCTTTTGTGCAATTGTACATTGTAATATTGTGTTTATTTGATGTATATCTGATTTATCTCATATAGAATGCGTTTGGTTAAGTTAAAAGAGCGCTTCAGTTTACCAGTGATCATCTTTAGCTCAGCACACGCAGCCCAAACAGCAGTGCACAACATTAATAACTATGATTGGGAATGTCGTGTATATAAAATTCTAATGAGAACATTATTATAATAAAACATTGTGAATTCTTTGGGTTTAGTTGCCGTGTTTCAGCGCGTTGTTATGGGAAGAGCGCATCCACAACAGGATCACACATTCTGACTATAGCATGCAATAACTGCGTCATTTTGTACATATATAAGTTGTAATATTATGTTTATGTTGTATTAATATTAATCTCAGGATGCATTTCCTTGAGTTAAATAAGCTGCCAGCAAAACGCTTCAGTTTACCATGTTCATTCAGCTCTTCAGCTTCAGCACGCGCAGCTCAACGGCTGCTATTTAAAACAGTGGTATTAATTTGTTACTTTTTCAAAATCATTGATACATTATTAATAACAACAACCACTTGTATTGTTCTCTTATTATTTTCATCAACAATATGGTTTAGTAATTAAAATCATTTAATTATTGTCCGTGCAGAGGCTATTCCGTTTTATTGATCTATGGCGCATTCATTTTGATTCTTTACACGTGTAATGATGTCCAGTGACTTGTTTGCATTATTTATGCATAATTTTATTTATTTGTAAGACTTTTTTATGACTAAATTTGGTAATGGGAGAGTAAAAATATTTTTAAAATGTACACCGTTCAAACTAGGCTGCTTATGTTGAAGTGTTTGGGATGTGGCTTTTAATGATGAGACCTTTTTTGTAATCAGGCTCTCAAAAAGTATATAACAATTTGGATATAGATTTATCGGCCAACATATCGGTTATCGGCTTTCAAAAATAAAGAATAATCGGTTATCGGTATCGGCCAAAATTTTCATATCGGTGCATCCCTAAACTTGCATAATATTATTTGGAAACTAGCAAATATGCTGTTCCTTGGGTCTTTTTTTTGTTTTGACATCAACTTTTTATTTTTATTATCCCAAGGTTTACTCGCAATTTCAGATATAGTCAGATATATATATCTGCTTGAATCTGGCCTGAACCCATTATCCTTGCCCGCAGCATGCTAATTGACACCGGTGTCTCTATTGGCAAACTGTGGCGACTCTCAAGTCCTAACAGTGGAGCAAGACTTGAGGCTCTCTGCATTAGTTGTTATTGTTGTTTTTTAAACTGATAGTGTGAAAGGAAGACAATTGATAATGTGATTTAAAATGCCACTGAATGCTCAGATGGAGAAATCAATGGCAGATATAATACATATCTTGGCCTCGCTACGAGACCGGAAAGACTACGCCCGTCTGGCAGAGGCTGGGAGGAAAAGAGTAATCGATCCGCAACAGCCTAAGCGTTTTGTTTAATGTGATTTTTGCCGGGTTCTCCTCAGGCCTGCGCTTGAGACTGTGGGGGGTGCAGATCTAAGTGTGGTTAAAGACTGCTGAAGCATGGGCATCCATGTCTGTATTACACTGTAATTGGATGCTGCAGGAAATGGATATTGATCAAGACGGAGGGCCCTCGGTCTAAAGTTTCCATTTTAGCTTGCAGTGTTTGAGGATGCCCAATGCAACGATGCATAGCTAGAGCATTTGCGATGACTACCCATAGAAGGGGACTATTTAACAATAATGACTAAAACATTTGTATCTGTTATAATTGTGCGACTGTCGATGAAGAACACCACCTGGCTACTGTCCACTTGGGCATTTGAATCTGAGACCTCTAGTTTAAATGGTTTGTGTGCGTTTACAGGGGTCCCCCTCCCACTCTAGCTGTGGCACGTCTCACCCACACTGGACCAAGCTGGGCTGACCGAGTCAAGTGTTCCCAGTCCCTTTCTGTTCCCAGACCAAGTGTCAACATCCCTGCTGAAAAACCAGGTGAACGGATCATTTGTTTTCAAAACCAGATGTTTAAGCATTTCTGTGATTATGTATACATCTATGTCCATCAATCCTTAGCAAAGAAAGATGCAGAGGGCTGGGAGACTGTGCAGCGTGGGCGCTCCATGAGGCCACGCTCCAATACCATGGTGGCCAAGGTAAGCCCTGTTCTGGCACATGTAAGCCCCAAAGATGACAGCGACAAGGAGAACCAGCGCATCCAGCCCTCACCCCAGGAAAAATCTCAGGAGGTGAGGGAGGAAGAGCAACCTGTACCCCAAGAGCAGAGCCAAGAGACGGAAAAGACCTCCGTCATCGAGGTACTGACGTCAGCCAGCCTCCCTACATTAATTATTCAGTTCTCAGGCATAGATATGAAGACTCTGTAACATCAGAATGTTTTTGTTTGGCCACACTGTGTACATAGATACACTGTCCAGACAGGGCAGTATCAAGTGTTCAAGCATCGATTTTCTACATGTTTATCAGATTTAATGAGGTTTATTAAATATTGACGATACAATGTCCTAGATTACATTTGGACAATATGCCAAAGCCAAAAGTTCTCTTGCAAAACCTAGTGAGCTGGGAACAGCACCTCAACTGAAATAGAACATCATTAGTGACTGATTTTGTGACACTCTGTGCAGGCAGCATCTCTTACAAATAGTACAAGACCCGTAATTGATTTCAACGAGTTTGTCATTGGCATGTTGCTAAGCTAATGTCACCAGGGCCGTCCTTAGGAGGATGCAACTGGACCGGTGCAACTGGTCCCCTGTCTTGAAATTCTGCCTCTGTATGCAAGCTTACTAGGTTTTAGAACAGGGAATGTAGTTGAGACTGTGGTGACTCAAAATGACTTGTTTGAATGTTTGTGGTTTTTGATTGTACAGTTCTTGGTATGCTACATGTTTGTTTTGAAATGCATGATATTGTGTAATTATTTAGCATGCTGTGTTTCTTTAGTTCTGTTTGTTTTCTTGCTGCTCTCTTATCTACCAAATGGTCTGTCATACAGATGCGGCAGTTAGTGTGACATGCATGTTTGTGTTCATATTTGTGTGTCCATCTGTGTGTATATTGCACAGCCCCCAGCAGAAAATATTGAAGATCCAGGGCAGAGTTTCAGCGCCCCCTCTGACCCCACGCCACCCCCTACCTCTCCGCTTTCGCTGGCCCTGTGCTCGGTTTTGGATTCCGATCCAGATCCTCCTCCTGTAACCCTTTCCCAACTAGAGGAGCTGGGTACTGGGCAAGCCAAAGTAGAGCAGGGGATGGAGGGGTCGGTGTGGAAGGTCGCAGCACCACCGGCAAAAGCAGAAACAGCGGTCTACGTTCCCCTGGCAGCGATGACACTGGAGAGCATGCTGGACCCCACAGAACTTTCCACCGTGAGTGCTGAGAGACACAGTCCAGGGTCAGGACTGCCGCCTAAACAAAGTCAATCCCAAAAACCTCCAGGCGAGGCAGGATTACCCCCCTCCCTCCTCCTTTCTCTCAGCAAGTTATATGTATGTGTGTGCTGGCAGGGGTGAACTAGTATCACTGCGAGTAGAGAACAGGAAGGCCCAGTGTTTATAGAGAGTTGCCACAGTTGCTCAAGTTTTTATTTTAGGCTTGTCAAATATCCCCTGCACCAGTCAGACAACCTGACTGGTTTTCTCCCCATGGGCTGTCATTGACCTTGACCTCCCTTTGAGCCTTGACCTCCCAAAATCTTGCTACATTCAAATATGCCACTACACATGCTCCTTTTCCAGCAAAAGGGGCTGTTCCTGGTGCATCTGCAGATCTCCCTCACAAACCTGAGCCCCTCTAACCAATTATATTGAAGGTTCCTATTTGGAAAGTAACAGTTTTGGTGCCATTTTCTTTCAGCTCACAACCACCCTTGTTCTGCACATAACAGGGCCAGATTGTTTGTGGAAAAGAGGTGACAAAATTTACAGATTCCAGGTTAGAATCCAAGTACACATTAAATTTCTGTCCAGCAACCAACTAGCTGCAAAATGTTTTGCTTGAACCTTTTTTGCTTGAAGTTCAAGACCATTAATTGGTTTAACTACTTAACCTACAGACGTAGGCCAAATGGCTTTTCTTCAGATAGGATGGCTGTGTGAGAAGGCAACTCCTGTTTTGGCATTCTACTTGTCTCCCGTCTCGCTCTTGTAAGAGAAACCTCCAAGGGGTTAATTAAGGCTAGACCCACAGCATTTTCTGTGAGCTACCAGCTTCCATTACTCAACGGGTGTTGGCCTCTGTACAAAACCCAGTCTGAAACAATGGAGATGGATGATATTTAAACACCCAGACAGGAGCACAATCTCAGTCGAGTCGGAATCCGGAATCATTGCTTCCGAGGTCCAGACACTACCTCTCTGGGTGGGTCAGATAAGCCCTGCTCTGTTTAGACTCCAGATCTAAGACCAGCAGGCGTGCTGTTGAGAGAAATCCAGCTCTTATTATGCTCGTTAGCATGACGTCTGACACTGACCTCAGTGCAGCCCTGGCCGTCTCCATCTTCTCCCACGGCCGTCTGAAATTGGCACTCGGCATACTGTTCACTCGTCAGGATCTGAAAGTGGGGGTCAAGTGTTGTGGCCTGTGATGGCAGTGGGTAGGATACTTTTTCCAAAATATTTTGGCAATTTAGCAGTCATCACGAGTCATGAAGACCCACAGGTGCACCCGTGGAAGGAATGTATGAGCAAAAATGTGCCCCTCAACAAATCCCCCCTTTGTTACCACTCTAAAATTAGAATAAACCCCTTCTGCCTACAGGTAACTATTCTCCAGAACACTAGTTACCTGATGGCATTTTGCAAAATGGTTTTTGAAAAAATGTTTTTTGGCCATCTTAAAGAGATAGTAATATGGTATTAATTTTATTTTGTGCAGGTTTAAGTTTAAGTCTTAAATTTGATTGTAAAAATCCTGCAGATACCCTGTATTTGGTGGGTAGGGGTAGCATTTTAATTTAGATAAGAGTATTTTAATATGTCAACAATAATTAATTGATTTCAGTTCTTTTACATTTTCATCCTGCTGCCCCCTTGTAAGTTTTCTTAAGCCTCTGTTGAGAACTACTGTTGTGAATGGACCCAGTCAAAACAAATTGAACAAACTAATATATTTATATAAATTTAGTTATTTTTAATAAAGTAAATACATTTATTACTTATTATAATATTTTGTAATTATTTACATGAATGTATACATGCATGCATTATATACATTCATATAGATAAACTTATTTATATTTAGTTACATGATTATATTGTCATCTTATTTAAAATCTTTGATATGTGCAACACAATTGTTTTGCAAAACATTCCAAGTTAACCCCTTTTGCCAATTGAAGTGAACTATAGATTCTTTTAATCTATTTAATCTGTCGTTAATTAATAATCGTCTTTTAATCATGACTATATTCACAACACAACATGGCCTCTCATACCTTATTACTTAAATTAGTTCTATCATACCAAATAAGAACTCCTTCCCATCTCCTTGTCCTTATTGTGGTTGTGCTGCATGATTTCGTTATGCTTCCCCATGCGTGGTTTTTGTGATTGATTATGTTTATGGCGTGTGCCAGTATTATGATTTCATTTTATCTCCGTTCAGTTTCTAACAAAATCTTTTGCATTTGTTAAGTTTTGTGGTGTGCAGGCTTTCAGCAAACATTTCAAATTTGGTTGCATTTCAGAAATCTGAATCTAGCCTAATTTCAGATGAAGTGCTGAAATGGTTGCACCATGTCTTAATTGAAGTTGTGCTGCCTGGGCATGAACTCAAAAGCCTGGTGTGGCGGTCTTGGCACTGTACGGCACTTTTTGTGCCTCTGTTTTGTGTGGTGACTTCAGTGACTGTTTTGTGCCTGTTGTCAGCCCCAATCCATGGCTGAAGTTTTGGCTAAGAAGGAAGAGCTGGCCGACCGCCTGGAAAAAGCTAACGAAGAGGCAATCGCAAGTGCCATCGCAGAGGAGGAGCAGCTGACGCGGGAGATCCAAGCGGAGAACAACGAACTGGAGACCGACAACGAAAGTGACTTCTCTGTAAGTCAACGATTATCCCTAGTGGTTTATATTGCTGATGTAATTACAACAACATCAATCTTCTTTGCTCTTTTATATGTGTTTTCTGAATTTAGTGTCATTTTTATTTTGCTCTCTTAAGGCAAGTATCGGGAGTGGAAGTTGTGGCTTGAGTTTAGACTGGAGCGAGATGCTAGCTGATTATGACGGTAATGATGCGAATAACATATGCATTGCTAACTGTATGTACAAGTCGAAGTTAATTCTGTTTATTTTAATGACAGAATATGAAATGGCCAGAATTGCTGGAATGAAATTAATATTTATTTTTACACACTATTTTCTGGATAATTTGCCTTCTAATGATTCAACTTTGACTTAACCCGAATTCATGTAAAATAACAACCGCTACTTTTATTTGCTGTCATATTTTGTTATTTTTGCTTGTATAGAAATTGCAGTTAAGCAAATTACATAAAAAGTAGGGATGCACCGATACCACTTTTTTCAGAACGAGTCCGATACTGATACTTTCATTTTTGGTACTCGCCGATACCGATGCGATACCTGTATTTTCACAGCATTTGTAATTTTTTTTTTTTTAAATATTGGGTACAGAAACAAAATAATAGTAATAATAATAATATGAATCATGTTAGTTGGCTTCATTTAGCAAACAGATATTTCCTTCAGTTATTTCCACACTTAATTATACCTGTTAAAATGTATAAGCTTTTGTTACTTTCACTGTTCATTTTAATGGCGCATTAGAGCTGCTCCTTTGCAGCAGCTCATTACTGTAATCACAAAATGTTTTCCTAAAATAATGCAGGGAACCACTCGTTATAAATTATACGAGTACACGCGTACTATTTTGTACTTTGCATTAATTAGCAAATTTGCATAATTTGCGTCACGCGCAGTGTACACGGACCCTCACGTATGAGTAAAAACCGAAGTATACTTTGGCCTTAAAGCAAGCTAAACAAACGCAGCGTGCACACGTTTGTATTGGTGCAGAATGAGAGAGACACTTACAGCCTAGCGCATTTCACCCAGTCTGCTAGTTTCACTTCTGCTTTAAATAAAGTTGTGTATGCTTGACGTTTAAAATAAATGCTGTTTATAGTGAATGCGCCTATCATTTTTGTTTGTTTTATAATTACGATTTAGTTTTAATCCAAATGCATGCGCTAATGGCGCGAACAGCAATCAAGATCATGCAACAGAAGTGTGCGCTCTCGCCCTCTCTCTCTCTCTCACTCTCCTTACCGTCAAATAACTTTAGTAACTTGTGCATTGTTTTACTTACTTGCTTTTGACATACCTGACCGAACTACAAACTTTCCAGTGACGTCTGAGAGATATTCACTCGACAAGCTCGCGCATCTGTGCAGCCGCGCGATCTGCTTATCAGCTCGGGCACATCCGCTATACAGGCGTGAATATTGAATGTTTAACATTATATTAATTACTTACATGTACTTCATAGACATCTTTAATCTCTAATAACTCCATTCTACTCCCTGTTGTTCTGTTTTCAGTATTTGTTTTTCAGGACACCGCTCTATTCACACGCTGTTTGGTATCGACTTTTGGTATCGGGCATTTTTACGAGTACGTGTACAGGAGCGCATTATCGGGCCCGATACCAATACCAGTATCGGTGCATCCCTAATAAAAAGCATCACTCAACTGGATGCTGATGATCTCAAAATGACTAGTATGATATCGGTCTAACAGGTCTTGTAAATGTGTTATATTGCATCACTTGCTTTTCTGACAGCTCGAGAGCCCTGGCGTCAGAGCACCTCCTGGGGTGACATGGTGGAGGAGGAGCCGGCCCGCCCACCGGGACATGGCATTCACATGCACGAGAAGCTGTCCTCTCCTTCACGCAAACGGTAACAAAGTCACATAGTCCCATTTCATGCAGAGTAATGTTACAGAACAATCCTTCTGTTTTAAAGCTTACATTTTTTTTGCAAAGAAAAGATTGTCTTTAAAATGGTAATATTACTGGTTGAAGTGTAATTTCCGAATAGAATTGCAAAACGTTTTTAAAACCATTTTTGAAATTCTTCTGTTGTAGGAAAACAGTTAGTCCTGTCCCCAAACTCACACCATTGTGTGATACAATACTGTGTAAATGAAATTAGACATTGTATGGAATCCAGTTTCTGCCACAGAATAAAAAAAACTGTAAAAAGTTAGCAACTTTCTCACAGCTTTGACTTTATTTCTCGTGATTGTGAGTTTGTTGCAAACCTGACTTTTTTTTCCTTCAAAATTACGAGATGTAAACTGATATTCTAAAAAGAAAGAAAAAATAAATCAAATCCTGTGGCGTTGACTCAAAACTCAGAATTCTGAGAAAGTAACTTCGATTCTAAGAAGAAAAAAAAAGTCAGAATTGCAATTCATTGTGTGAGATGAAGTAAAAAAAAATTTCCATGGAGGAAATTGGCTTTTACATCATTCTGACTTCTCTCTCTGAATTACGAGATGTAAACTCGCAATTAAAAAAAGAAGTCCGAACATTGCCATAAATTCACAATCGTGAGGAAAGAAATCTAAATTCTGAGACGTTAACTCAGAACTCAGATTGCTGGAAATAAAGTCAGCATTGTGAGAGATGGAGTCTCTTTTTTTTTATTTTTTTTATTTATTTATTTATTTTTTTTATATATTATTATTATTATTTAATTTTGTGGCGGAAATAGAGTTCCATACAATTGTGATCCTACACTTCACAAATGTAAAAACATATTTCTTAGGGTTGTCAATTTAATTGGTTAATTTAGTGTATTATATTAAAAAATTATATTAAAATACATTTAAAAAAAATCCTTTATACCCATTTTCACACAAATCATTTAGTTTGATGCCAACTAATGAATTTAGCTCATGCCATGAATTTTGTAATGACTATCGTAATGTTTTCATCTGCCACAATAATGGACTGCCTTTGAATGATCTTCATTTGAGGGCATTTATTAGAGAACTAGAATTGTATACTTTTTAATGCTTAATAGTTTGTGATTAATTAATCTGCATATCATGTACATCGATTAAAAATGTATTGACAATGGGCTTTGCTGTTTGTTGTCAGAACCATTGCAGAGTCGAAGAAAAAACATGAAGAGAAACAACTTAAAGCCCAGCAGCTCCGAGACAAACTGAGAGAGGAAAAGACCCACAAGCTGCAGAAACTTTTGGAAAGGGTATGTGTTTCCCTTGAACACCTGTAGACACAGCTCATTTTGCCTCGGCCACAGGGGAAAATCCTATTCGCATAGATGTTGAAAGAATCACTTAACAGCCATTTTAGTCGTTCAGGGGGATTCACTCCTGGTGAGACTCATAAATCTGATGTTGGTGACTCTGTAGAAAATGTTTGTTTTTGTTCTAGTCCATTCTTGTCGGAGGAGGGAGATCTAAGACAATATTGAGTATTTATATATCTGCACTTGAAGTGGACCACTAACATGTGTTATTCACACCCCTGACAAGTCTGACTTCTGCAGACTGTTTTGTCGGGATTTGATCTTTGTACGGGTCCCTTTCTTTCTCAGGAGAAAGAGGTGAGGAAGTGGAAAGAGGAGCTGTTGGATCAGAGGAGGAGGATGATGGAGGAGAAGCTGCTTCATGCTGAATTCAAGCGAGAGCTTCAACTCCAGGCCATTGTGAAGAAAGCACAGGAAGAGGAGGCGAAGGTCAACTTACGAGGCTACAACTGATATTTGTTCATTTTTTTAAGTGTGATTCAAGTGCAAACTTGAATGTATTCCTCAGAAATTGTTCGAATGTGGTTAATTTTTTATTAGGAAAGAATATTTTTCTGTTTATGATTTGTGTAGGTGAATGAGATCGCATTCATCAACACTCTGGAAGCCCAGAACAAGAGACACGACGTTCTGGCAAAACTAAACGAATACGAACAACGGCTTAATGAGCTGCAGGAGGAACGTCAGCGGAGACAGGAAGAAAAGCAAGCGAGGGATGAAGCCGTTCAGGTATAAAGCTTTGTTCTTTTTATTTATTTGTTTAATGCGCTAAATGTGTAACTATATGATTAATCGATTTTTCAGGAGCGTAAGCGGGCCTTGGAGGCGGAGCGGCAGGCGCGGGTCTAAATCAAAATTTGTTGTCAACATTTTCAGCATGACGAGAGCAGCCGTAGACACATGGAGCAGATCGAGCAGAGCAGGAAGCCATGGAGGAACTCCAGAAGAAAATCCAGATGAAGGTAAACTATCATAAGTAATCTTCTGACTCCATTTTTAATGTCTTATCCCCTTTTTCAAAAATCCTGTACCTAGGAAAAAACAATGTGTTGTATTGCTTGCTCAAATCTACAAATATGAAGTAAAACAAGACTAAAAGTAAATCAAAATTTGTTGTCAACATTTTCAGCATGACGAGAGCAGCCGTAGACACATGGAGCAGATCGAGCAGAGGAAAGAAAAGGCCGCTGAGCTGAGCAGCGGAAGACACGCAAACACAGACTACGCCCCCAAACTCACCCCTTATGAACGGAAGAAGCAATGCTCGCTCTGTAACGTTGTGGTAGGTACTGCATTATGGGTTTCTCTCTCATCTCTTTGATTGGTATTAATGCATTCAGGGCCATCGGCTTTGGGACAACTAGGAATACTGTCCCGGTCCAAGATCAGGAACACTTGAGCCACTCTAAACATGAGTGCAGAGATTCCTGCAAGGATGGACAGTGTGTCTTTGTTGCTTTGCCAGGCAGAGTTAAAAAAATCACAGACTACAAGGTGATTCAGAGGATTTTCATAGAGAATGCATGGAAATGAGAATTTAACTGCATTAATTAAACATGAACTCTGGACGGAGATTAATAGCTGGGCGTGATTATGCTTTTCAAGCGACAGGCAACAAATCTTTGAGTGGCCGCATTTATCTCTGACGCGCCCTGCTTTTACTGCAACTGGGGCCAGACACCTTGGAGCTTCAAACTGACATCAGATTAAGCGCTGGGGAGAATGAAATCTTGTTAAAAATGTCAGATGACCTTGGCCAGGCTCTGACACCAGAGATCATCTTTAGGTCAGCGGGAAGCACTCTAGTTAATGATATTATACACAGACTGTCCTGTGTGGGCTCGACTCCAGGACTCAAAGGAGACAAACAACACCAGCATCCAGATACTGTTGTCCTCACCTGCTATAGGAAAAAACTTTCCTACTTTTCTGTTTAATTCTAGCACTGATTTTTCACTTAGGTGACTTTCACGCAAAGTACCTTTCAGGTTCAGTCCTCTTGGAGTAATGTGAGGTTTAAGGGTTATAGCTCAACCAAAAAATGAAAATTGTCATCATTTACTCAACCTTATGTTGTTTTAAACCTGTGTGACTTACATTCTTCTTTTGGAACACAAAAAAGATTGAAAAATTCAAGTTGCATAAGATTTTCCCATTTCCTTTGCGCTCCATTGACTTTCATAGTATAGACAAAACTAGCTGAAGCATTCTTCAGAATATCTTTCTTTTTTTTTTGTTTCACAGAAGTAAGTCATATACGTAGGTTTTTTTAAACGATAAGAAAGTAAGTAAATGATTTATGGGTGAACTGTTCCTTCATCAGTCTTGATCAAGGGCACAGTAGTGATGGTTTATGCTTTACCTTTTCAGGGGTTTGAACCCACAACTTTTTATTATAAGAAAAGTTCGCCCATAAATGAAAAATTTCATTTATTTATATTTTTATGTTATTTTTGTTTCCCCTCAGGTTGTTCCAAACCTGTGTGAATGACTTTCTTCTATGGAATACAATAAAAGAGTATTAAAACATTGTCACCCATCATGTTGTATCGATTAATTTCACTTTGCCTTTTTAAAGCTTAAATTTTTGGGTCCCATTGACTTTTTAATAATATGGACATTATGTACTAAACTGTTTTTTTAGTTATTTTGATCAAGGGCACGATTGTGGATAGTTCATGCATCACCTTTTCTGAGATTCGAGCCCACAACCTTTCAGTTATTGGAAAGCTTCTTTCCAGGCAGGTTATATAGATTAATTTCACACTACCTTTGTAATTTTGGAGTTAAAAGAACTGTATTTTTTATATATATTTTGATCATGGGCAAAATTGTGGATAGTTCGAATATCACTTTTTTTGAGGTTTGAACCAACAACCTTTTTGGTTATCGTAAAAGTTCCCCGAAAATGAAAATTGTCATAATTTATTCACCATCATGTCATCATGGTTTTTGAACTATATGAAGGTGAGTAAATGATTTTTGGGAGCACTATTTCTTTAACTGTCTTGAGTCAGTGCACAACAGTGATCAACTTTTCTGGGGTTTGGACCCCACAACCTTATCACTTATTGGAAAAGTTCACCCAAAAATAAAAATTCTGTCATCATGAAGCTACACCGCCCCAGTTTCTCATGATGAACAGAACCATTATATGAATAATAGAGACATTCAGTAGAGTCTTATATGCTTTCACATCATCTCTTGAGTTTTCAGGACAGGTGAGCTGCCCTACAAACTCAAGAGGTGTTATTCGAGCTGATGAAAAACCGTGCTTGGGGCGCCGATACATTCAAAACTGAGCTGTCAAAGCTCTTTGCTCAGTTTAGTTATTGGTTATTCACCAGTGTTTACTGATTTTCTGGCTCTTATGAGAGGTGTCTGTCAGCTCTGCAGATGTCCGTCAGGATCAAGGGATCATATTTAGCTTTAAAGGGTTGGAACATATGTCTTGATACCTGAGAACTGTCAGGCCGTGAATGATGCCGAAGCGTATTGTGCGGGAGATTTGGTATGTTTCAGGCCCATGGCTTTATATTTGGCGAATCGCCTCACATGATCTCTGACCTCTGTGATTGTGTTGCAGATCACCTCTGAGGTCCACCTGTTCAGTCACATTAAGGGGAAGAGGCACCAGCAGGCAGTGCGGGACAGCAGCAGCATTCAAGGGCGGGAGCTGTCCGACGAGGAGGTGGTGAGTCTCCCCCACTAAAAAAAACACACAGAAGAAACCAGGGTCTCCCGTAGTGAAAATGGAGAGATGGAATATGCAAATTTTGATAGAAATGCAAATTAAAATGTATAAATTGCATGAACTTTTAAATATGAAAGTGATTTAATGTCCTAATATACTTAATGAAAATAAAATAAAAAGATTTAAAAATATATATATTTAAAAGGCCAAAATTAGTTCGATTTTTAATAATTACAAAAATCTAAACAATTTTAATATACAAATAATTTAATACTTTTAATATTTAACATGACAAATTGAAACTTTTTTATTTACGTTATGCAGTTTTTATTTTTTTAAACGCATTAAAAAAATCTAATTCAATTTGCTGCAAAAAAAATCTAGTTCTTAATTATTGTCATTGTATACATGTTTGTTTGCTTTTGTATATATTTTATTAACTAATTCTGGATTAAATGTGCTTTTTTTTTTATTTAAAGTTTTTTTAAATAAAATAAATGATAAATTATTATAAATCATGCATACAATTATTATACAGTTCTTAGATTTTTATTGTAAATGAGCTTATTTTTCATAATTTTTTTAAATGTCAGTATTTTTTCAATTATTAAATGATACATACAATTGCATAAAGCAAACAAAATGCCATGGCTTTATATTTGGCGAATCGCCTCACATGATCTCTGACCTCTGTGATTGTGTTGCAGATCACCTCTGAGGTCCACCTGTTCAGTCACATTAAGGGGAAGAGGCACCAGCAGGCAGTGCGGGACAGCAGCAGCATTCAAGGGCGGGAGCTGTCCGACGAGGAGGTGGTGAGTCTCCCCCACTAAAAAAAACACACAGAAGAAACCAGGGTCTCCCGTAGTGAAAATGGAGAGATGGAATATGCAAATTTTGATAGAAATGCAAATTAAAATGTATAAATTGCATGAACTTTTAAATATGAAAGTGATTTAATGTCCTAATATACTTAATGAAAATAAAATAAAAAGATTTAAAAATATATATATTTAAAAGGCCAAAATTAGTTCGATTTTTAATAATTACAAAAATCTAAACAATTTTAATATACAAATAATTTAATACTTTTAATATTTAACATGACAAATTGAAACTTTTTTATTTACGTTATGCAGTTTTTATTTTTTTTAAAACGCATTAAAAAAATCTAATTCAATTTGCTGCAAAAAAAATCTAGTTCTTAATTATTGTCATTGTATACATGTTTGTTTGCTTTTGTATATATTTTATTAACAATAATTCTGGATTAAATGTGCTTTTTTTTTTTTTTTAAGTTTTTTAAATAAAATAAATGATAAATTATTATAAATCATACATACAATTATTATACAGTTCTTAGATTTTTATTGTAAATGAGCTTATTTTTCATAATTTTTTTAAATGTCAGTATTTTTTCAATTATTAAATGATACATACAATTACATAAAGCAAACAAAATGTATGAATCGTTACATTTATTACTCATTAAATTTATCGAAAGCTTTTTTGAAACATTATTTGAATATTTAAAGGTACTTTATGTAAATAATTTCACTCTTGCCCATGTTTCTCACACAAGCAGTACGCACACACTCCATTCAAGTTCATTTTTACAGGATACATTTCATTTTATGACTTTGCACATCATTTTTCATGTCCTTAAAGGTTGAGGGGAACAGCACTAACTTTCCCATATTTTCCCTAGTTTGTGGGACCGTAAAAGGCTACAACCGAATCAACGCTAATAGTGTTTGTGTATATGGCGCGGGGTGAGATCACCCTGCCTTGTCTCTGGGCTTGACAGAGTGCCTTTCCTCTGAACGCCGCTCGTTAAACGTGGGATCTCTCACCGCAATATGAGATTGGCTTTCTCACTGGGCTTCTTTGTACGGCTGACAACTGTTGATGCTATATGTCGCACCTTTGGCCCCTGGACCTCCTTCATTCGAACCTTTTTTCAGCAAGTAATATTTAAACCCCCACTGCTACCTCTAAATCATTAGGCTTGGCTGCGGCCACCTATTTCTCTGCCTGACAGTGTGATAAACACTCAGCTGAGCCACCGCGCCACGTCTCGCAACTGTGCGACATGAGACTTAATGAGGCCTCTCTAGATTGTGGAGCTTGATGTATTTAATTGAATTAACCGTTCACGTGGAACTAGTTTTTAAACAACTGTCATTTGGTTTACGTAAAAAAGGAAACCGCCGTTTACCTGTGATTTATGCGACACAATCTATAACAGTCAGCGAAATTAGCAAAATTGGAAACTTCATGGTGTCTGAACTGTAAATTTGTTTGAGTTCATTAACCGTGTCCTTGGTTCTTATTGGAAAAGAACACGTTGCTTATATTCCTTCATCTATAGAAGTTTATAAGGAATATATGTCTGAATGTAAATTTTTGGGAATTCGTTCACATTTTAAGGAAACCTGACCGCGGGACTTGTTTGGATAGTCTTGTCATGGACGCCACGGTGCTTCTTATTTATGTCTCTGCTCATTTTGGTGCGCAGTATTTCATTCATGCAACCGCCAACTATTTTCCAGTCGGCACTTCCATAATTCTTGCTGTTATGAAAGATTTTTAATTAAAACTAAGATGGTTGGCCGATCCGTGCAGAGGTCACAACATAGTTTTTCAGTGGAAGCGGGTCCAGAGCCTCTGTCTGTCCTCGTATTTAGCCATATTTCGCTATTTAAAAGACTCTGAGTTAAATAAAAAAATACAGCGATTATCAACAGCAATGGATCAGTGCGGCTGCGGGACACTTGGATTGCCTCTCGGACTCTATATTATCCTTTATTGGTTGTCATCTGTTCTGGTTTAATGTGATATATCTCTAGACCCTCTCTAGACCCCTTGTGTTTGACGCATAAGAGTTTTATTTGTCCTCAACCTTTGACGCCAGATCAAGAAACACAGCTGAATGTTCGGTTATTCCAGCTAAAATATCACACAGCTTGTTGGAGTCACGGCCTAGTGGTTGGCACACAACTGCTCATGTGGGACATTGGATTTAAGGCAAGACTTGTGTTGTGTACAGATACTTTAATTGCCATTAAAAAGTAATATAAAAATTATTAAATATAACAAAATAATATATTAGTATTTGATGTGTACAAATATATTTTAGGTTTTATTAATATATTATATGTAAAATATTGTTATTTTTATATTATCTATTTTTCTAGAATATTAAAAAAGTATATACTCTCATATTAAACATTAAAATATATATGCATATCTCAGTATTTAATATGGTTAATTCATATATTTGTATACTATTTATTAGAATATTATATTATAAAAATAAAAGGTGTATATACACGTATATTAAACATAAAAAATGTATATCTCAGTATTAATATTTGTAAATTAATATATTATATTTGTATACTATTTGAATAATATTCTATTAAAATAAAAGGTGTATACACATATTAAACATTAAAATAAATGTATATCTCAGTTCTTAAATATTTGTAAATAATATATATATGTATGTGTGTATATAAATATATTATTTATTTGAATAATATTCTAGAAAAAATAAAGTGTATTTATTTAATTTATGTATTATATAACTTATTTGTATTACCTATTTTTCTAGAATATTATTCAAATAAAAAGTATGTGCACTTATTATATATTAAACATATACACTTTGTATACACTGTGTGTATTCTTTTAATTATAATAATATTCTAGAAAGATAATATAAAACATTATTAAACTGTAAAACATAATTATCTTTGTGAGATTATAAAATTATGAAACAATATAAATATTACATAAATTTAACATTACATTTAATATGTCATGCTATTATTATTGTTGTATAGGAGTATATTTGTATATTAACCAGTCCTTTCCTTTAGTGTTAACACAACAAAGTTCCCATCCTGCAAGGGATGCACGAGTCGAGGTGTTTTTTTTTGTTTGTTTTTTGTGGGTTGCTGGTTAGTTACCTTATACCTCCTGTCTTTACATTGTACCTGAATGACAAACAGCTGTCTGTTTCGCATTGGGGGAAAGCCATCTTTTGCCGGCTCTTTTGTGTCACACAAAAGAGTGGAGGATGGGGACATGTATCAGTGTGACAGTGAGAGCTTCATCACGGTCCCTGAGCAGCGGCGGAGGTGTGATGTTTTGAGTGCTCTCTCATTACACCCCACAGAAAGCACTGTGGTTTTTTGGGTGTTCTAGCCCACGGGCTGGTCTCTCTCACTTTTTATATCCCACTCGCACGCCTCCTATTATCACCGTCTGCAAGTGGACACCTGTCCATCACCTGTCCATCCATGAATTTGATAGGTCGTCATATGTCACATTGTCCTCTTTCTGTAGCATCAATTTTTTATGTAATTCTAAGGAAAGTATCACTATTAATGTTACTTATACTTGGAGTTTGGGCTTTTTCATGTGCTAATGTTCATCAAAGTGATCTGAACATTTCCACCTGCCAAAACATTCTCACAGACTTGAGTCATTTAGATCATCTAAATATGAAAAATACTTTCTACATTTCACATTTGTATTATTCAGGGTCTTAAAAAGGTCTTCTTCCAGTGCACAATAGTGATCATATGTGTGACTTTCATGTGTAGAACACAAAAGATGTTTTGATGGTGGTGAGAGTACAAGATCAGCCCTGAACCATCAATCTTTTGCTTACCAGCCCTGATCTTTTAAGTTGTACCAGCCTAGTTTCTCATGATGAACAGAACCATTACATGAATAATAGAGACATTCCATAGAGAAAGAGTCTTATATGCTTTCACATGACCTCTTGAGTTTTAGGACAGGTGAGCTGCCCTACAAACTCAAGAGGTGATATTTGAGCTGGTGAAAAACAGTGCTTGAGGCGCTAATACATTCAAAACGGAGCTGTCAAAGCTCTTTGGTCTTTTTACTTATCAGTTATTCACCAGTGTTTTCTGGCTCTTATGAGAGGTGTCTGTCAGCTCTGCAGATGTCTGTCAGGATCAAGGGAT